TTTGTATTTTAATATTTGTTTTCTTTTCTTTTTTATCTCTTTTTTATTTCCCTTTCTTTATTCCTCTACCGGTCGCCGGCCATGGCGACGGCCAGTGACTGGCCATAGGCGAGGCTTGCCGTGGCCGGCGACCAACCTCGGGCGAGCGAGGCCTCGCCTCGCCTCACCAGATCTGGCAAGGCTTGGCCTCACCTCACCGGTCTCGAGCTCGACCGAGCATCGCCAGATCTGGCGAGGCGAGGCTAGGCTAGGCGTCGCTCACCCAAGGCCGGTGAGCTCGAGCGAGGCCAAGCCTAGCCTCGCCAGATCTGGCAAGGCTCGGCCTTGCCTCGCCGATTTCGAGCTCGGCCGAGCATCACTGAATCTGGCGAGGCGAGGCTAGGCTCGGCCTCGCTCAAGCTCGCCGGCCTCGCTAGATCTGGCAAGGCTCGGCCTCGCCTTGCCGATCTCGAGCTCCGCCGAGCATCGCTGGATCTGGCGAGGCGAGGCTAGGCTCTGCCTCGCTCGAGCTCGCCAGCCGTGGGACGAGATGAGGGACGAGAGGACGCGCAAGGCAGTAGCAGAGGAGGACCAGATGAAGCACGAGGTAGCAGCGGAGGAGGGCGTGAGCATGAGAGTGAGAAGAGAGGAGAGGGCGTGAGAAGAGGGAAAATATTTTCCATTGATCGACAAAAATATTTTCTTTAATCCCTCAATTTCTATCCCCCCAACACCGAAAATTATGGAAAATATTTTCCCGAAAAAACATTTTCCGCAAAACGAACGGAGCCTTAACCTTTCCATCGTTTGTTGGAGGAAGATGCAAAGGATGGAAAGCTAGAAGATTGGGAAATTGTATCTATATATTACGTTTTCATAGAAACCTTGTATGTACATATGCTCTATTTATAATATAATTGTATGGACAATAAAAGGAAAAATATACAAAATGAATAAATAAAATATTTTTCTATTTATACAATAAACTAAGGCTGCGTTTGGTGGTCTAGATTTCTAACCATGATAGAACTGGATAGAATATGATATGAAATCCAAGGAATTTGCTATATTCTATCTATTGTTTAGTGAATCATAATAATAAAGCCGGAGATTTTCACATCTTATCATGTTCAAGGGTAACGTTATTTCCATTCCCTATATGAGTAAATCCATTCACTTATCACCAAAAAGACAAAATTGTCTTCAACCATTCAATTGCAATTTAAAGTGACCGTCCTAAATTTATTTATTGTTAGATTTTATTTCCATAAAAGTTCGTTTTTTGGAAATTAAAATTCCAAGAAACCTAGTTCTTTTCTATGTCGTCGAGCAAATTTATGGATAAATTGTCAAGTATTGAACAACTTTAAAAAAGACAACTTTTTAACATCTTGACTTGTTTGTATATTTTCACTTTGTTGTGTATACCACCATCAAACCCCTTCTTATCAATTTTATTTTATATATATATATACATATAATGGGCTGATCACGTGAAGCAAAAAACAAAAAAACCCTCTTTGAATATTTTCCAAAATAAAATCACAAGACATTCTCATATGTGAAACTTTAGAAGACAAAATTTAATTAAATCAAAACATTGCATAAAATAAGAATTTTTCTTTAAAATGCCAACAAAATATCATTATTTAAATTGATAAAAATTAATATCATCCATGAACTGCTTATGAAAAAATATTAAGATGCCTCGTTGTACATAATATATTTTGTGTATTCCTAGATATTCCTCTAACGTCTTTCATGCTCTATGTAAAAGTATCTCACCAATATAGTATAGAAAAAAGAAAACAAAATTGTTAATATAGTAAATAAAGATACTTGATATATATATATATATATATATATATATATATATATTTTAGACTAATGAAATTAAAAAATAAAAAGTTCACCAAGAAAGTGAGCTTTTGAGATAAGATAGGCAAAAAAATTCTTTTCCACGAGAGCATTTTTGTGTTTTTACTGTGAATTGGGTGAATTTAATCACTTAGGGGTGGAAATAGTGTCGACCTAACTTAATTCCCAAAATAGCTTGATTCTTGTTCATAATAGTTGTTTCGCGTGGCAAGAATTTCGCTCCTAACCGAGGGAATAATGAGGAGATGAACAAGGAAATAGTCACATAACCAAAGTGAGGTAACTATATCTCCATCATTAATTAGTAAACTTTATTCACATGAGATACAAAAAAAGGGAAAAGACCACCAAAAACCCTAAACTATGTCACTTATGACAAATTTATCCTGAACTTAATTTTTATACGAAAAACCCCAAACTATGACATTTGTGACTCATTTACTCCATAGTACTTTCTCCTAGGGCATTTTCGTCTTTTTCCTTTTTCTTTTTGGCTCCGTTCGTTTGGCGGAAAATATTCTCCTTTTGGAAAACATTTTCCTGGAAGTCATTTTCCTGAAAAATGTTTTCCTGGAACACAATTTTTCTGGTGTTCGGCTAAAATCTGAAAAAGTTTCGGAAATATTTTTTGGTGTTCGGCGACCGCCGATCCGGCGGCGTCTGGCGACCGGCGGTGGTGACCGGCGGCGGCGATTGGCAACCGGCGGCGGTCGGCGGCGGCGGGTGGCGATCGGGTAATCAAGGCGGCGATTAAGCGAGGACCGACGACCGACGGCCGGCGACCGGTGGCGGCGACCGGGCGGCGGACGGCGCCGCGGCGGCGCGACCGCAAGAATCGGCGGCGGCGACCGCAGCCGGCGGCGGCGACCGGCCGTGGTGACCGACGGTGGCGGGCGGCGATGACCGGCGATCAACTTCCTATCCCACGGAAAACATTTTCCCTCCCATGGGCAATTTTGCCTTCACTTTAGAGGAAAATGATTTCCTCTTAGGCTGTGTTCGTTTCCGGAAAAATATTCTGTCCTCAATATTTTCCGGATTTTCCGGTGTTCGGGGGGCGAAAAACGTTTTCCTTGGGAAAACATTTTCCTTCCCCCTTCACAAAATAGCCTAAGTCTATGGAAAATGATTTCCGCTTCTTCAAAAGCGGAAATCATTTTCCGTAGCTGCTGCTTCTTCTTCTTCTTCTTCTTCTTCACTATTTTTTTTTCATTTTTTTCGTTCTTCTCTTTCCTCAGCGCTGTGGTCGACGACCGGCCAGTGGCGAGGCCCGAGCTCGCCGGCCTCAGGCGACCTCGGCCTCGCCGCCGTCTGGCGATGTCGGGCGAGTCTCAAGCCTCGCCCAGGTCGGCAAATCCGGCGAGGCCGAGCTCGCCCGAGGTCGGCGAGCTCCAACCGCACGAGATCCGGCGACCTCGAGCGAGGCTCGAGCCTCGCCCGAGGTCGCCAGACATCGGCGAGGCTCGAGGTCGCCGGATCTGCCGATGCTTTGATTGTTTTGTTTTCTGGTGTTGATGTTTATGGGTTCTTCTTCTTCTTGTTCGTGGGCGAGGCTCCTCAGGCTGCTTGATTGCCAGCGGCGACTTGGGCGTCGCTAGATCCGGCGACCTCGAGCCTTGCCCGAGGTCGCCAGACATCGGCGAGGCTCCGGCGACCTCGGGTGAGGCTCGAGCCTCGCCCAGGTCGCCGCATCTGGCGAGGTCGGGCTCGCCGGCCTCGCCGGAATCTAGCAAGCTCGAGCCTCACCGGCCTGGGGCGATGCTCGAACTCGCCTCCGGCCGGTCGCCGGCCGCCGGCCGCAGCCGTTGCCGGGCGACCTACAGGAGAAGAAGCAAAAGAAAAAGAAAAAAAAAAAGAAAATATTAAAAGTATTGCAAGAAGGAAAATCATTTCTATACCGAACAACGGAAAATATTTTCTGAGACTTTTTCAGATTTTACCCGATCACTAGAAAATTGTGTTCCAGGAAAACATTTTTCAGGAAAATGACTTCCGGGAAAATATTTTCCAAAAGGAGAATATTTTCAGCCAAACGAACGGAGCCTTAAGAGGAAATCATTTTCCCCCAAAGTGAAGGCAAAATTGCCCATGAGAGGGAAAATGTTTTCCGTGGGAAGTTATTTTCCGCCCCCCGAACACTGAAAAATCCAGAAAATATTTTCCTGGAAAACATTTTTCGCCAAACTAACGGAGCCTTTATTTTTCTTTTTTTTCCTTTCTTCTTCTCTCTTCCCTCTGTCGTGGCCGGCGGAGGGAAGCCGGCGAGGGCGGCCCTCACCGGTGTTGGAAATCATTTTCCCCCAAAGTGAAAGCAAAATTGCCCATGGGAGGGAAAATGTTTTCCGTGGGAGGGGAAGTTGATCGCCGGTCGCTGCCGTCGACCGCCGGTCGCCGCCGCCGGTCGCCGCCGCCGGTCGCTGTCGCCGATCGCCGCCATCGGTCGTCGGTCGCGGTCACTGCTAATCGTCGGCCGCCGCCTTGATGCGCTGCCGTCGGTGGCGTCGGTCGCCGGGCCGCCGCCCGTTGCCGCCACTGGACCGCTGCCTGCCGCTGGGCTGCTGGGCTGAAAGTCGCCGCCGCGGCTGTCGGTCACCGGCTATAGTCGGGTTGTCGGCCGCCGCCGGCTCGCCGGGCGCGCCCGCCGGTCACCGCCCGTTGGTCGCCGGGTCACAATCGCCGCTTACCTGCCGCCGCCGGGCCGTTGTCGCCGGTCCACCGCCACTGCCGGTCGCCGATTGCCGGCTGGCAGTCGTCGGTCGCTCTGGTCACCGTTGGTTGTCGGCCCGCCGGCCGTCGGTCACCGCTAATCGCCGCTGCAGCTAGCCGATCGGCCGCGTGCCGGCCATGGCCGATCCTTGGCTGACCATTTGCCGCCGATCGTCGGACGCCGCCGGATCGACGGTCGCCGAACACTAGAAAATATTTTCCGAAACTTTTTCAGATTTTAGCCAAACACCAGAAAATTATGTTCCAGAAAAATATTTTTCAGGGAAATGACTTCCAGAAAAATATTTTTCAAAAGGAGAATATTTTCCGCCAAACGAATGGAGCCTCAAAAGCATCTAACATTTTTTCCTTCGTGCCTTTGGCACGTGCACGACAGTCTTTCGGGCGCCGCGCGAAAAAGTAAAGGGGTTTACTTTGACACTCGGCAAAGCAATACACAGCAGAGCAGAGTAAGCATGTTGGGTTCTCCCGCCGCCGCCTCCACCTCCACCTCCTCCGCCGCTGCCGCCGTCCGGAGCTCTCTGCTTCACTCCTCCTCCACCGCTCACCGGACCAGAACTTGCCCTTCCACCTCTCACCTGGTAGGAATTACGGCGCGCAATTCGTTCATCTCATAACTCGTGTTTTCTTTTCGTTTCGTCCTCTTTTCTTTGTTGTTGTGGCTTTCGGTCTAACCTCACGACCGTATCTGCTTTCTCTCCGTCTTGCCTCGTGGGGCTCGCAGGCACTCGCGGTGTGTGTTCGACTTCAATCTTGTTCGTCGCGCGCTGCTTCTCCGATTAAAGCCATGGCTGCCGAGGCTGAAATTCTGTCCGCGCCCAACAAGGAGTCTCGCCCTTCTGCTCCTCGTACTGCTGTTTTCTCTCGCGTCTTTAACTTTTTCGTAAATCTTTTATCATTTCAGATTGTGGGTGTCGTGTTTCTTTCAACCCTGTCAACAATGTAACAAAAATCTTGAACCTTTATGTGGTCCTTGAATGATGAGGAGGGCTACTTCGGCGTCGTTGTTCTTTTTTCTTGGGCGTGTGTCTAACTGTATAATGAAAAAAAAATTAATCTTTTCCCTCTCTTCAAATGTTCCAGGGAGCAAGCAGGCATTGATATCTTTGTCTGATAAAACTGATTTGGCTTTTCTTGGAAAGGGCCTCCAGGAATTGGGGTGAGGAATTTATCTTGCACACTTCTCTTGCGTGCACGTGCGCGTTTGTGTGTGTGTAGCTTAGGTGCTGAAGCCTCACTGTTTTTGTTGGATTTTAGGCACGTCTCATTGCTTGTGGATAGTATCTTTTCCACAGGGGTGCACATGATATTAGTACTTGTTGTGTCAGCACATACAAGTGTTTCATGATGTCATAACCGATTAAAACATTTAGGTATACTGTTGTCTCAACTGGAGGAACCGCATCTGCTCTGGAAAATGCTGGGTTATCGGTCACCAAAGTGGAACAGCTTACTTGCTTCCCTGAGATGGTTTGTTTATTCGTTCCTTACTTGTATTGTTTATTCTTTACTTTCTTTGGTTGCCTTGTCTTGAGAGGCTGATGGCAATGAATGATGATGACAGTCAAGATTGGCACTGCGCTAATACCGTACGACTTGAAATCCCTCTTGGCTTCAAGTGGTTTATCTAGGATCTTCACAGCTTTTACTAACATTATCATGCTACATCCATTCCTTGATGGCAATGATCGGATACCTTAATCCCTTCAGGCCACTCAGGACTTTCCTGCTCATAACAAATGAATCAATTTCTAGTCACTAATGCTCATCAAAGATTTTCAAAGAGTTCCCTGACTGAGACCATATTTTCAGGACTGTCATGAATTTGAGTGCCATTTGTCCTTAGTTCATTGCTACAGATCTAACTTGCCTGGACTCCGGCATAGAGCACCTGATGCCCCAAACCTTTCTTCTACCCCTCTTTGAGATCCATTCATCTACAAACTTGTTGAACCATTAAAACCTACTGCATCTCTTTTCTTATTCTCTGTAAATGCTCCTTGTGTTACTAAAAGTTGAAGTGTGTGCACTTCAATCTTGATTCTCAAGAGAAATCAGATACAGATTTGCATGATGCGTGCTAGACTGCTAGTATACTTCACCAGGGAGAATGCATCCGTACTAAATTCAATATCACATTTTTCAAATAGTACATTCTATATATTTTTCATGGTGCCTCTCTTTTTGACTGGTTGTGATATCTCTTTCGTTTGGGACATTTGACAGAGGATTTACCTCTTTATCGTTCGCATTTTATATTTTCATCTCTTTTCTATGCGTGTGGGTGCACACCACAATAGAAGAATCTACTTGTGGCAACTTGACTTAGATTTTAACTAGGAATTTTACATTACTCTATTTAATAGCTGGATGGTCGCGTAAAGACCTTGCATCCTCATATTCATGGAGGAATCCTCGCTCGGAGAGATCAACAGCATCACATGGAGGCTCTCGATAAGCATGGAATTGGTGAGTTGTCTCGTATGTTTATGCAATCTGCATTTAAGGTGTCCATGAACAAATTCATATACTTGGACATCCTACTGTTTGTAGAATCATTCTGACAGTTTGTCAGCTTAAAAATTCTGAGGACAAATATATAATGTTCTTGGCATTCCTGTGGTCCTGCATAATGCTACTATAATAAATGCAAGATGGAACTTGTGCAGGTACTTTTGATGTAGTGGTGGTTAATTTGTATCCATTCTACAACAAAGTTACCTCTGCGGCTGATGTTGAATTTGAAGATGGAATTGAGAATGTTGACATTGGTGGTCCTGCCATGATCAGAGCTGCTGCAAAGGTTCTTTGCTATTATATGTGCATGTTCATTATTATCAGGGCATAGACTTGTTTATGTCTCTTTTTGCTTCATTGCATCTTAATTTGGAAGTATGCGAGAATATGATTGTATTTGGTGTCTTCAGTTTCACTGAGCTCACATTACAAAGGCACTAGTAACCGAGGCATGTAATTAATTGAGAGCATGTTAACTTTTACATTGAGATTGTGGCTCCAGATTCCCTTCTTACTATTTGGGGAATGGTTTCTCTTGTGCTTTTTTGCTAAAACAGCAATTTGTTGTATGATGCTTGTTAAATTATAAACTATGATAGGTATGTCTAATGTGTTGCACTTTTTTTGAAGAGCTGTTGCTGCTTTGCCCCTCAAAATATTAATATGCATGTGGTAGATTTTTCTGTAGTTTTTACACGGAGTATGATTATATGCTTGTAATCTGAATTGATGCTGACATTTGTCTCCTAACAGAATCATAAGGATGTCCTCGTTGTGGTTGATTCACATGACTACCCTGCACTGCTGGAGTTCCTGAAGAGTAACGGAGATGATCAACAATTCCGTAGAAAACTTGCTTGGAAGGCCTTTCAGCATGTTGCTTCCTATGATTCTGCGGTGTCAGAGTGGCTTTGGAGACAAACAACTGGAGGTATTCATCTGGTTCATGTTCTCAATAGATGTCATAGCCACAAGGCAATTAAAAGTGCATGTAGGTCTAAACACATTAAACATGCAAATGAGGGGCTTCTATGGAGACTTGGTTGAGATGTATTCTTTAGTTTGTTTCCTTTGGAAATCAGTAATTTCAGTAGGTTGTGTTTCCTGTTAGTTTTTGAACTGATTTATGTAGAGGTTGACGACTCTTCTTTTTGATAGAGAAATTTCCTCCCAGCTTAACAGTGCCTCTGTCTATTAAAAGTTCTCTTCGTTATGGTGAGAATCCCCACCAGAAGGCTGCATTTTATGTGGACAAGAGTCTTGCTGAGTTTAATGGAGGTGGTATTGCGACTGCAATCCAACATCATGGAAAGGTGAGTCCTTGAATGTCATATGTATACTTCAAGGGCAATCTTTTGTGGAAGTTGAAATTGCAGCGGATCTAGTAATTATCTAGCTTTGAAAACTTCATTAGATAGAGGAGGCAGTTTCTAAAATTGAATCTTGTTAGAGAATCTAAATAATAGGAAGTACTCTCATCCAATAGCTGAAGCTTTTGATAAATTGACAAAGGCCTCAAGAAATCAATATGGCATTAGAGTAGGAGGTCCTCATTTCAATCTCTCAGGCACTTTTTGCTTATTCAACATAATGATCTTCCACCCTTCAATTTTTGGTAAAATGCTAGCCTATGTGTGATGGCAAATATAGAGCATTTAAATATTAGATTACTCCATCTAACAGGATAGCTTGAACGTTTGGTTTTGTCGGCAGTTTGACAAAATTCTACAAATCATTCTTAAGGAGCATCTAGTTTCTTTTCTTTTCTAGGCCAACTATCAGTATATTTTAGTGTGCAGAGTGTTTAGTTATAATGAAACACTAATAATGTTTTGGAAAGGAGATTAGCGATACAGGGGAGTGATTGGCTTCCTTTTTAGTATCATAAGCATCTGTTTTTGAGATGAGATTAGATGCTCTTTAGAAGTCTCTGAGCAAGTACAAGAGTAGTTTGTTCCATAAAGTTCTTTTACTTCATCAACAGATCATGGTAACAATAGCAGATCTATCTCATTTGTTGTGAATTATGCATTGATGCTGCAGGAAATGTCATATAATAACTATCTCGATGCTGATGCTGCCTGGAATTGTGTATCCGAGTTTAGTGACCCTACATGTGTCGTTGTAAAGCATACAAATCCTTGTGGGGTGGCTTCCCGCGGCGATATTCTTGAAGCATACAGATTAGCAGTCAAAGCAGATCCAGTCAGTGCATTTGGTGGTATAGTGGCCTTCAATGTAGAAATTGATGAGGTATATACTTATCTCATTATGCGTGGAAGTTACAAAGGGAAAATTCTAATTTCCTTATATAGTAGACCCACTGAATCCAACTATAATAAACTGAAAGATACTTCTCATTTTTTATCCATAGAGTTCCAGATTGAAGCTCATTCTGGAGTCAACTAGTTTGAGCTAAGAATTAGGCTAAACGTTCGGCCTATAGTGACATTCCATAATATATTATAGGGATATGTGCAGTAGAAGTCCTAAAACTTGTCACAAAAGTATAATTGAATCCTAAAACTTACAAAAAGTGCAATTAAGTCCGAAAATTTGTCAAGTTGGTTCAATCAAGTCCTTTCCGAACTCTGTCCAACTAGACTAACAGAAAATGCTGACGTGTCTTGTTTTATTATTTTTCGTGAGACACGTGGTGATGATGTGGCACCCACCAAGTGCCACGTCGGAAAAAATATAAACTAAATCATAAAAAAAAAACTAACTCACAACAATCGGTTGTGGCTAAGCCCTCGCCGGTGGCCGCCGCCACAGCCGCTGGGAAGGGCCGATAGAGGTCACCTGGGCCTTCTTGAAGCCCAGCGACCCTTACCGAGGCCGACCCTTCCCAACGGCTGTGGCAGCGGCCACTGGCGAGGGCTCCACAGCCATTGGTTGTGAGTTTGGTTTTTCTTTTTGGTAATGTTTAGCTATTTTATCTAATTTAGTTTATATTTTTGAATATTTTTTCTGATGTGGTACCCACCAAGAGCCATATCATCGCCACGTGTCTCGAGAAAGTAACAAAATAAGACACATCAGCATTTTCCGTTAGCTTAGTTGGATGGAGTTAATGGAAGGACTTCATTGAATCAACTTGACAAGTCTTAGGACTTGATTGCACTTTTTGTAAGTTTTAAGACTCAATTACACTTTCGTGACAAGTTTTAGGACTTCCGGTGCACATATCCCTATATTATAGTTCTCTGATAAATAAAAAGGAGCGTGAGTTTTTGAAACTTAAAACCTCATTCAATACGGGCATCCCTCAAATTGAAACAACAATAGTGGTGTAGTTGCGGGTCTCCTATTGCTGAGTCAGGATTGCTGAGTCTTGATAAAATTGATTGAGCTGAACATCTACACTAACCTTGCAATGTCCAACTGTGCATATAGAAATTGGCTAGGGAGATCCGGGAGTTCAGAAGCCCAACAGATGGTGAAACTCGGATGTTCTATGAGATTGTGGTGGCACCCAAGTACTCAAAGAAGGGGCTAGAGGTTCTCCGTGGGAAATCGAAAACGTTGAGGATCCTGGAAGCGAAGGAGAATGAAAAAGGGAAGCTTTCACTGAGACAGGTCGGTGGAGGATGGCTGGCTCAGGATTCTGATGATTTAACTCCCGCAGACATTCAATTCAATGCGGTCTCAGGGACAACTCCACAAGAGAGCGAGCTTGAAGATGCAAAGTTTGCATGGCTCTGCGTTAAGCATGTCAAGAGCAATGCCATCGTCATAGCGAAGGTATTTTTCTCATGCATCTTTGTTTTATCTCTCTTTCATCGCAAGTTGATGGGAGAGGCTGAATACTATTTTGTTGACCGTGGCCAGAACAAGTGCATGCTGGGCATGGGAAGTGGACAACCAAACCGTTTGGAGAGTTTGAGGATAGCTATGAGGAAATCTGGAGAGGAGGTCAAGGGGGCAGCTTTGGCGAGTGATGCATTCTTCCCATTTGGTAACTATCCAGCTTATATCTCTTTTATCACTTGTGATTGTGCAAAGATGGAATGGTTCACAATTATCAGTAGGGAAAACTGCTCAACGACTCTAATGGCGACATTTAGCTAATTTTGTGATTGTTTAGGCAAATTATGGTGTGGCAGATAATGCTGCTTGTGACATTATGGGACATATATGAATGTTATGTACATTCTCTTAATATCCATAAATCGTTAGGTGGTCAACGATACAGGTTAGAAAAATGATATGTATGGAAGTCAATACCTAAAACCTGCAATTCACATGCTTGTATCTGAACTCTATCATCTAACATCAAGGTGGATTATGTACTAAGCTGAATCTGTGTGTTATATGTCCATAATGGGTCTTTATTCTCCTGTTCATGCGCAGCTTGGAACGACGCAGTAGAAGAAGCTTGTCAGAGTGGGATCGCTGTCATTGCAGAACCTGGCGGAAGCATTAGAGACCAGGATGCCATAGAATGTTGTAACAAGTATGGCGTCTCGCTTGTTTTCACTAATGTGAGGCACTTCAGACATTGATGCTGCACTTGCCCTCCTCCTCCCGCTCCAATATCGCGAGGAAATTTTGCGGAAATAAATTCTAGCGTCTGTTCTTGCTATACTGCGAGCGATGGGTGAATGCGTTCTGTACTAAATATGATCTGTATGTGAGTTTTGCAGTCACGCACTTGATTTGTGTGATTGCTTTTGGTGCTATGTATCAGAGTTGCCGAAATGAGCACTCAGCAAACTTTGTGACTGTTTTAAATTTTGTGTTTTGAACATGTATTGCGACTTGGGGAATAGCATCGTCACCGAGACGATCGACAAAGAGAAGGTTTTGAAAGTTGGAATAATTGATCAGATTAAGCGAGAGATTTCGGTCACGAGACTAATTAGGCGCCCGCATGTGGTGGAGCTTTACGAGGTCATGGCCACCAAGACCTGGATTTACTTTGTCATGGAAAATGCTGAAGGCCGCTAGCTATTCAACAAGGTAACCAAAGGGAAACCGAAGGAGAACGTCGCCGGGACACACTTTCGACAGCTGGTTGCTGCTGTCGGTTGTCACAGCGGAGGCATCTGTCGCCGTGCCTTGAAACCAGGGAATCTGCTCTTAGAAGAGAACGGGAATTCGAAGGTTTCAGACCTTCAATTGAGCACGTTTGCCATATCGAAGCGGCGAGATGGGTTGCTCCACGACTTGCGGTCCATTTATGTTGCTCCGGAAGTGATCAATCGAAAGGGTTGTGATGGATCCAAAGCTGATGTTCGGTCATGGGGCGTGATCTTGTTTGTTGTATCATCTGGTTACCTTCCCTTGCGTGACTCTAATCACATGGAGATGTATCGAAAGATTGGAAAAGGGAGAATTCAAATTTCCAAACTGGTTTGCCCCGGATGTGCGTCGACTCCTTTAGAAGATCTTTGATCCAAAACCAAACACGAGAATTCCAATGACCAAGATTACGGAGAATTCTTGGTTATGGAAAGGGGGAAAATTATCCTAAAGTCCTAAACCTATTGCACTTTGGCCAATTCATAAACATTTCAATTTTGCCAATTAAATCTTAAACCTTTTTATGTTTTGCCAATTGAGTTCATCTGATCAATTTTAACCAGAAATTGATGATGTGATCACCGGCAATCCTATGTGGCACGGCCGGCGACGGCTAATGCTAAAGTGGACATTTTTTTAAAAAATTAACAATTTTTTTGGTTTTTTCTTTTCTTTTCTTTTTGGCAAAAGGGCCAGCAAGGGTTGCCGCCCACAGGCTAGGGCCAGGATGCCCTTGCTGTCTCTTGGCGAGGGCCACGATGCCCTCGCCTCACCTAGAGCCGGCAATGGCATCCCAGCCCTCACCTGTGACTGGTGACCCCTGCCAGCTCTCTAGCCAAAAAGAAAAGAATTTTTTTTTAAATTATTTAAAAATGTTCGTGTCAGCACCACCTAGGTCACATAAAACCGCCGGCGACCACGTCATCAATTTCAGGCCGAAATTGACCGGACGAACTCAATTTGCAAAACATAAAAAGGTTTGGAACTAAATTGGTCAAAGTACGATAGGTTTGTAACTTTTGGGACAATTGTCCTTGTGAAAAGGTATTGACTCCAAAACTACGTGTATTCACTGATCATAAACCACAAAAATGAAGACAAATAACATGAGGTATTAGCTAGGTTTACACTTACATGGTTAGATACTCTCATTAGTCATCCCAAAAGATGTAGAATCACTCACTATTGCTATTACTGTGATGTGGTGGCATCGTCCATGAAAAGAAGACGCAAACGGTTTTCTTCAATGTAAAGTTATTTGTCCCCTTCAATTTGGTTTTATATACTTCATATTTACGTCTGAATCAAGCTTCAAGAACCTTGTCACTCCCCCGAATGCTGTTGTCATTACCATTTGAGGCCTCATTGCGTGGATTACATTGCCCCATGTCTCTCCAAATCTCGTACCTCCCCAGGATTTTCCGCCCCCAATCTCCGACGTGCAAAACGACGTACGTTCCAATGCCACCTATCATGCCATAAGCTATGGAGTACGTCAATGGCATGAGAATTATCGTCACGAACGCCGGAATCGCTTGCCTCATGTCCTCCCACTCGATCTCCACCACCGATCTCATCATCAGCACCCCCACCAAGATCAACGGCGGCCCCACCGCCCATGCCGGGATCGAGGCGAGCAGTGGCGTGAAGAAGAAGGCCAGGAAGAAATAACCTGCCACGGTTATCGCCGTTAGCCCCGTCCGACCGCCTTCCTTGATCCCTGTTGACGACTCGATGAACGTCGTCAAGGGCGACGTCCCGAGTAGCGACCCTACTATGATCGACGACGCGTCGGACATGAAAGCAAAATATTGCCCTTCAAAGCCGCCGTTCGCATCTGCAAAGCCCGCGAATTTGGCCATCGAGTATAATGTCCCCGTGGTGTCGAGTATGTCCACATATAGGAATGTTGCTAGAGCCTTCCAGAAGCTGGCCTTGTCTATGTCCTTGAAGCTCAAAGCTCCGGCCGTGGTGTTGATCGAGCGGACTTCCATGATTTTCCTGAAGTAGTGATATTGTAATTTCCCTTGGTCCGTGTCCGGGAACACCGTGACGGCGGTGTTTCGGAGCCACGAGACGACCGTGACGAAGACGATGCCGTATATCATCGCCCCTTTGACGTTATTCACTAGACAGTACGCGATTATTATGAACCCTACTATGCCAAGCCATAAGGTTGGGCTCTCCATGCGATTACCCACGCACATTACGTCACCTGGAATAGAAAAATTACTTAGGCGAGCCCACTTAATACGATGTTAAGCAGTTTAGGAAAGGCATATTATCTTAATTTGTCCTAAAGATCATGACATGTCATCCTAAGAAAGTGATAGGCAATTGAGTATGTACTTTGGACATGATGATTTGTCATGTCACGATCTCTCGAATTACATGTGGGATGCAATAACGAAATCTTATATATAAGGTATGCAAAATTCATCTCTGTGCGCGGACATCATCTTGTATTTTTCATGAAGTTATGCATATGTGATTTACTGAGTCGATCGGCTAAATGGATGTCTCACCTGAAATGGTGCCCTGAGGTGCCAAGCCATCCGTGCCATTGGCCAACATCGCGATGGGTTCTAAAGCCACTCGAGAAGATCTAGGGCAGCCTCCAAGCGTGACTAGAGTTGAGGGACTGTAACCAATGAGTCCGATTCCTTCATTATTTTGTAACCCGATGAACGCGAGAAACAAGCCAATACCCGCCATTGAGGAAACCTGGACGGTTTTCGGCACCAGCTGCACGAGTTTTGCTCGTAATCCGACCGCCGACAACAAGAGAAAGATCAATCCTTCGATGAATATGGCCGCGAGGGCGCTTCTATAAGGCAGTTGACCGGAGCCGTGGAACCCGACCACGGTATAAGCAAAATAAGCATTTGTACCCATGCCGGGAGCCAAGCCTAAGGGAAGATTGGCCAGTGTCCCCATCAGGAGGCACCCTATTAAAGACGAAACTATGGTGGCCACAATTAGGTCCTTGTGTGTATTCTGTAGGCATTGCTTGTAGCCCTTATTGATCGGGGGAAATTTGCACGTCTCGTCGGGTTGGATGATTTGGAGGGTGGGGCCGGTGCAGCTCGACAGAGGAACCGTGAGGTCGGAGCAGAGTTCGACACAGTCCTTGACGGTGCAAGTGCCACCTGAGTCGGTTAGGATGCTCGCGTTCACCGCCAGTATGTAGGCCATGGTGAGGAAGGTGGCCGTGCCGGCCCGTACCTCGGTGCTGAAGGTGGTGTTCCGCTCTGCGAGCTTGAACTGCTTCCCGACCCGGGAATCAGCAACGTACAAGTCGAGCCGGCTCAAGAGCGAGCGCCTATTCTCCATCTCCCCCAGCGTTTCCATCTCCTGATCCGAAAACGTTCCTCGATCTCTTTGTATTCCTTCCGTCTTGAGGTACCTAAACTAGTTTTCAATCTCTTAGACAGAGACGGAGAATCGATACAATGTTTGGATCGTGGGGATTGGTCTATGTAGTGATGGGGATGGCCACTTTGGCTAAAGCATGAACATTGGAATAACTAGTTATCATCGATTACTCCTAGGCCTGTGGTGAGATCCTCTAGTTTTGGTCACATGTTGATGCAAACGTCCATTAGTGAGCATACCAAGCCCATCACGTGAGATCAGTATCAATTGTTTTAAAAGTTTAAGCCGACAGATAAATACATGATTTATTATTTAAATATTCAAACATAGGATAATGTACAAATCGACCCCTCTTAGTGCTCGTAACATGTACACGAAGGGGAACGAGAGGTTAATTAGCCCTACTACAAGACAGAAGGGCCAAAAAAGAGAACATAAGCTGATTAAGGTTGTCTCCTTGATTGTCTTGGAATACTTCTTTACTTTAACAGTCAAATTTCATGTCAATTGCTTAAAACATGTGCCTCTTGAACAACAAGAAACTAATCCGTTTCTGATGCCTTTGTTTGAATGTTTTCTACAATGTGCAAACCGTGCTAAAAGTATGGATTTTAATTTTTATCCCTGCTAGTAAATTTTAATAACTGGTAAGTAGGAGCCAAAAAAAACTGTTGATAGAAAAATGATGGGGGACTAAAAAAAAGGCAAATAATAATGTAAACTATCAAAAAGAGTTGATGATTGACAAATGCAACCAAACTGTCATGTATTAAGAAAGACAAATAAAAATTGTTAAGGGATAAAGAAAAGTTGATAAATAAAAAGAAACTAAATAAATATTGACAAGTAACTCAAATCAAGAGTAGGTAACCCAAAATGATATGGAATATTTTTGGCAATTATTCAAATAAAAATTTGGTAAAATAAAGAAAGAAAAGTTTTAAATTTGTAAACTGTTTAAAAGAGTTATGATTTTCTAAAAGTATCTATAAGTTACCAATAAACTCTAGGAAATCAGGTAACTAGTAATTTCTTCGTCAATATTTGTTGACACTAAACAACTTCTTCAAAAATCTATAATGAATGGGAAAAAAAAGTTGTGTTCTTTTTGCCTAGATGTGTCCAAAGGACCCAGAAACCACCTCGATTGCTCGGAACTAGATCGAACCGACTCAGAATCGGCGGTTCCCATGGGGACTGGTCCAATTCCCAGTTCCAATTTACTGGAACCGGTGAGTACCGGTTTGGTTCTTAGTTCCAAGCTTGTTACGCCCACCCAGATCAAACCTGTATATATAATATATATTGAAAAAAAATTCCAACTCACTTTCGGTGAAAATAAGTCTTTCTCTTATGCCATTTGCCATTTACCCTACAGTCCTACTCGTGTCTCGTGGTCCTCAAAACAAAAACAAAAGGAAGAAACCCTAGCATCATATCACTCTCACCGTGAGATTTCACGCGGCCACTCCTTCAACTCTGTCGCTACGTCATAGACTCACAATCGCCTCGCTCCTCATCTCCAGCCTCCCCTTACATCTTGCTCTCACCTCGCCTTCAACTCTGTTGCTAAGTTGTAGACTCGCAATAGAGTGAAATTTTATGCTTAAGGGTATTCATTCTTTTTGCTGCTGTTGGCGAATTCGATTTCTGACCTAGGGAGCTTCAAATTATGTTGAAGTTTAGTTCGGAATTTGTCAGTTTTTGGCTTGCCTTTTGCTCTAGCTCTAGCTATGACTCCAGGTGATTCTGTGCTTACTTGAGCCTTTCTTATCAGATAATTTCAAGGAATAAATTTGGTCACCATATTTGTAGTCTGGTTGTGAATCTATAGGGACTGGAGACTAGTTCCATGGACTCACCAAGAACCGAACCAAACCCATGGAACCGGTCCCGACCAACGGTTGGATCCCGAATGGATCCATAAAACCAACGGATAGTTCTCGGTTTCAATTTTTCAAAATCGGTTAGTGGGCGGTTCCTGATTCCAAGATGGGAACCGCTCCTGATTTCAAGATGGGAACCGCCCACCCGAATCATGCTCACCTTTAGTAGTGTCCTATCAAAAGCATTCATTTCGACCAAGTTTTTAAGTGTTCCAAAGTGCATGTAGGAAGATGGTCTTTTAAGCGTGAAAATAGGCCCATAGAAAAAAATTGGGCCTAGCAACCGGACTGATCTAGTCCGGTTGTAATTTGTGAGCACATGCCTTGGGTGATTGGTATTTTTAACTTGGGATAATCACAATAACCATCTTCAAGTTTAACTCTCATATCAATTTGCATGCTCGGATTTTAAAACCTATAATTAGTATCTCATACCTAAAATCTCGAATCCTGAATAAAAAGAGTAAAATGCCTTCGTTCACAAAAGAGCCATGAAAACCCAACTAGCTCTAATAGTACATCACCCTCCATAGAACCGACCCCTTCACCTAACACCGGCCGCTGCTGCCCACGCACCGATTGGCGCTTGCAACCGCTCCCACCCGCACCAGAACCATTACTATTGGGACAATCTAGTGGGCGCTATGGCAACTCAAGCGGCCTCGATTAACAGTGAATTAGCAACCAACATGCCTAACCTGGCTGGCTTTGATACGAGGATAGGTAGTGTTGACACCAAAAAAAGAATCGGCATAAGTGCCGAATCGGCTTTAATGCCGAATATGGTGTATAATGGAAATCAACCATTTGCCGAAACACGTCTAGACCAAATTCGGAAACATGTTGAGAATCAAGTGTGAATGGTATCGTGTCCCGAATTCGGTAGTTGATGAAAATATGTATACTTACCGAAATATGGAGAGTTATAGTTCGGGACATTGGAATATTTATACCTCAGGACAATGACACTTTCCAGAAATTCGGGAGGTTCACGCTTCGAGAATGCACTGAAGAATCACAATCCAATCACGTAAATCACGACAGCAAGAAGTTACGAGCAGAAGTGGGGATAGTGAGCACGAGCATATTATGGGAAGTTACTTGTCCAAATTTGAAATTATCTTAGCGGTTGAGATCAAGTTTTGGCGGACAACAAAACTAAAAAAAAACGTGGTTAGAAAGGCAGTTATTGGAAGCGCCAAAATATTCAAAGTTTGAAAATATGGAAGTAACCGACGAGCAGTTGCAGGACAGGGGGAGATACAAATACTCAGAGGAAACAAAGAAGAAGGACACGACTAACAACAATGCAAAAACACTCAAGCTTATCTGCACTTTAGTTTCCTATGCATCTTTACTTCCTGTATTTACAGCTTCCTGTAGCTCTAGTTAACTTTCGAGTCATTTACAACTTTCGTAAGAGTATTGTAACGTAGCTTGAAATTCTGTTTAATCCAGATCCATTTTCAATCCATCAAATTTCTATCCATTCCATACAATCATGTGTTACACTTTACGTTTCACCACAACTCTCCTAGTAGTCAAACCACAGAACCTACCTTAATAAAAATCGAAGATCGAAATTTCGGTGAAGGATATTCCTCGTCGTAAAACGAGCGAATATCTTTTTGGCACGCCTAGTGGGACTTGCGTGGTAAGGTTTGGAGAAATGGTGAGAACCAGGCAATTTGAAGGAATACCGGTCGGTAATGTCAACAATCCAGTTGATGAAACACGTTCTGAACACTCTGCGGCTAATCAAGTAGAGGAGAATGCCGACATTCCTCGGCAACTAACTGAAGAACAAGCCCGTGCGTTGGCACCAGATAACACCTTGGTAGCCACAATGAAAAGGATGTTTGAGGAACAGCAGAATGATCTTACCAATCATATAGTGCGACATGTGAGTGATGTGATAAAGCCCATGGTGATCAATGCTATAAATGAGGTAATATCGCGTCCCAGTTCATCTTCTCAAGTTCCACCCTTTTATGCAAATCCTCTTAGGATAACATTGTTCCCACCAACATCGGGACCTCCTCATGTGGGGTATAACGGTAATAGGGGATCAAATTCTCAACCTCCTGTTAGGATTATACCAAGGCCAGAGAATCCTACCCCGATAAACCTTGTGAATAGTGTGAGTGCTTATAATTTCCCTCAAAATGCCCCAAATGATGTTAATTTGGTTAATCCCATGGTCACAAATGCACCACCAGCGATGAATGTACCTCCACCAGTAAATATGCCTAATGTTGACCATATCAAACCACTTCGGCCTCAACCATATCCTCATGTGATAGAAAATCCCCTTTATAGGCCACCACCACCTGTTAATTTTAACATGGAGCAGCAAGGGGTAAATCGACCTCAACAGTTTGATCCTAGGGGTCAAGATCCTTGGTTAGGCCAGCAGAATTTAAGACCATGGAACCCAGATAGAGTTGCGGAATTGGTAATGCAACAATTGGGAGCAGAGAGAGGATTGCCAAGGCCAGTATATAGGAAGCCACATCCCGATTGGGTTGATAATATACCATATCCAAGGGGTTTCAAGATGCCAGATTTTGCTGTATTTACCGGAGATGAGGATCAGTCAACTGTGGAGCATGTGGGTCGATTCCTGGCACAATGTGGGGAAGCTGGAACTAATGAGTATCTAAGGTTAAGGTTGTTCCCATTGTCTTTGTCCAAAACAGCATTCACTTGGTATACAAATTTGCCTGCGAATTCGATTCAAACATGGTCCGAAATGGAAAGGCAGTTTCATTCTCAATTTTACCGAACGGTACCAGAGGTAACGGTAGCCGATCTGGCCAGAATGTATCAATACGGTACCGAGACAGTAGATCGGTTTATTGCACGTTTCAATAAATCCAGAAATCGATGTTTAACATCACTCACTGAGAAGGAGTTCACTGATTTGGCTTTTAACGGTTTGAAGTTTAACCTTAAGGAAAGATTTGAAGGACAAGCCTTTGATGATCTCTTTCAGTTAAACGCTCGGGTTTCTAAGTACGAACACTTGTTGAAGGAGAAAGATAAGAAGCCAAATAAGGACAATCGACAGACAGTGGCATTCTCTGAAAG